CGTTTTGGAAGCCAGACATAATAGTTGGAATTACATGTAGTTAAAGTTGAATAACAACACGGTCTGTACCTCCAAAAAAGGTACAGCATCTATCACTAGGGGAGTAGTCTTTCAAAAGGTACACTTTTGCACCGTATTTACCCTTAAAGCATGTATATTAGTACCTTAAAGGTACATAGTAGTATCTCTTTTTTTTTTTTTGGCTGAGAATGCATGATAAATTTAACTTATGCATCAGTAATGGAATGTATTATAATTGGTTCACTCATCCCAGTGTCTTTTGGAATGGTAGCTTAGGTTTTGAGATCCTGGAAGTTGTACCCTATCCAGATGTTGTGGTTGTTTGCTGTGGTGGAGGAGGGTTACTTGCTGGTGTGGCAGCTGCCATCAAACTGTCTGGTTGTGAGAACACTAAGATCTATGGAGTGGAACCAGAAGGAGGTGAATATTCAAATTCTTTTTTTACAGTAAGGTCTCATTTGTTTCATTAGTTGTCAATGAGCAATATATTTCTTACAACATTCATTAATCGTTAGTTAATACAAATGCAATTGTTCATTGTTTATTCATGTTAGTTAAAAGATACAACTTTGATTTAAAAAATGTATAAGTAAAAAACTAACAGCATTTAGTAATCTTAGTTAATGTTAACTAATGTAGTTAACCAATATATGGATCTCTCTTGTAAAGTGTTACTGAAAAGGTTAACAACGAACCTTCAAGCAATCATATTAAGGGAATTAAGAAGAGCATAATTAAACTTTCATTACACTTCACTGTGTCTTGCGATTTGTGCCAGGAACAAAATACATAATGGAAGATAATGAGTATGACAAAGCTGATATAATTACACCATAAAAGATGGTAGCTAAAATTTACTTTTATAAAACGGATAGTTCCGGTCCCTTGATTCTGATTGGTTGAGCCGCGTTCAAAGCTGTTGTAAATTACACTACAAACATACACCTTTGTTTACTTCTGTGTGTTGCTCGGCAACCACTTTGTTGGAAACCACAACTGTTTCTGAGGAACTACATTGTTTGGTGGAAGAATACTTGTTTTATTAATATCATTACACTTTATTTGCTCTGTTTTATTCTGTGAAACCTTACTACGTATATGGAATAACCGTTTTATAAAATAATTTATAACAGCTAAGGGGGTTTTAGGCACTCCGCTTCACTCCGATTCACTGTAAACCACGGCTTCTTGGGGCTTATTGCTTTATTATAAAACGGATCGTTCCGGTCCTTGATTCTGATTGGTTGAGCCAAGTTCGAAGCTGTTGTAAATTACTCTACAAACATACACCTTTGTTTACATACGTTTGTGTGTTGCTCACCACTTTGTTGGAACCACAGCCGTTTCTGAGGAACTACATCGTTTGGCGGAAGAATAATGTTTTTATTAATATCATTACACTTTATTTGCTCTGTTTTATTTTGTGAAACCTTACTACGTATGTGGAATAACCGTTTTATAAAAACAATAAGCCCCGTGAAGCTTCGCGTCGTGCCTAACAACTCCCCTTAGCTGTTATAAATTCACTGTAAACCACGGCTTCTTGGGGCTTATTGCTTTAGTTTGAACCATGCGGTTATTTTGTACGGTGTCACTCCCTTAATTATGATGTCAGATTAAATCATAATATGTAAGATGGAATTTCACAGCATGACAGTGTTGAACAGAAAATGCAGACAAATTATTTTAGAAAAAAAAAAAAATATATATATATATATATACACAGTATATATATATATATAGAGAGAGAGAGAGAGAGACTGTGAAAGCATGTTTTAACTCGGCCTCATGTTGTTCCAAACCCATAAGACTTTAATTCATCATAAAAACACAAATGAAGATATTTTTATTATTCTCTCATCATATTTGTGCATCCAGAAAAAGTCTAGGTAATCAACGTGGACTAACTCATTAATGGTGAAGAATGAGTAATTGATTTTCTAACAGAAAGTAAATTTAAAAAAAATTTAATTCAAACTAAGGCTAAGTTCAGTATCCCATTAATGAAATTACTAGCAAGTGAATGACACTTTTGCTTCTCTGACATGTTCACATAAACCCTCTTGACTTTCAACAGCATGTACAATGTACAAGAGCTTCATTGAGAAGAAGCCTGTTGGTATGGATGCTAAAAGCATTGCTTCAGGGCTAGCGCCACCATTTGCAGGTATGAATTCTACTTTGAATAAAACTTTATGGAAGCGTTCATTATAACTTTACATTATTTGGGCTTTTTGAAACTTGTATATTGGGATTCACCCTCAGGTTCTTTGCCATATGAGCTGTGTCAGAAGTATGTGGAGAACATTGTGCTGGTGACCGATGAGGAGATCAAATCTGCAGTTGCCATACTTTATAGGGCTGGACTCGTGCTTGAACCTTCAGGAACTGCGGCTTTCGCTGCCGTCACGAATGACAAAATCCCAGATATCAATGACAAGAATGTGGTGGTCATCCTCAGCGGTGGAAACATTGGCAAAGATGAGCTTAGCAACTTTCCTGACTAAGTTAAAGGCTTATTTAGATAATAATCACAATAAATAATGTTTCTAAGGCATATATGGGCTGTGAAGTTCCATAAAATAATTGTATGGAAAAGAGCAGCATAAATGATGGCAGATTCATGTTTGCGATAACAACTACATTTTGCCAAGTCGTTTATGGATTTATATCTATTTACTCACAATCTCTTGTTTTTATGATGAATTGCATTCATATTTTAAGTGCAAAACACTAAAATGATAATGTATCCTTTTTAGAAGTGAAAATACTGTGAATAAATAAAGTTACGAAACATCTCCACATCCCTGCTGCGTTATATGTGCCAATCAACAGAAAACTAATAGGCCTATACAGATTGTGTTGTTTGTTAGGTGACTAATATAATAGCTTACACATAATTTTATAGCTGTGCTAAACTGTACCCTACTGCAACATTTTCTTTTCAACATTCATTACATTATTCATATTGACTACAGTCGTGCATATTTCTCATGCTGGAGATCTGGATGATTTTGCAACTTAGGGAAAGTGACTTGTGTAGACTATGGCTATGTTCAGACTGCAGGCGAATTGGATATTTCTGCACTATCAACTGCGGGTGATCAAATCAGGATTTGTGTGTCCAAACATAACCAACTTATCTGCATGAGTTGCTTTGGTTACGACGTAGGCGTACCCACGTTTTTGATGAGGCTTTCAAAACGGATGCAGGAAAAAATGGAGGTGCATCATCTCAGTCTGCAAATAAGCACCTTGTTAATCTTCAAACTCAGCGATGGAGGAGACTGGTGCATATTGTGACGTTTCGTGCTGTAGTCACAGCTGGCCTCGGCTTCGTTTTGAATACTGTACTGTACTTCCTTTGAATACTTCATTTAAATACTGGTTTTGACATTACCGTTGAGAGTCGCATTAAGAGTGATGCAAAAGACTATTTAAATTCCAATTTGAGCAGACTGAGACACATCTGTAAAAATCTTGATTCAAATAGCATTTCCAAGCACCTCCAAATGTGTTTATTTTTTTCTCGCTGTCCAGACATTCAAAAACCCATCTATAATATCTGGATATGCAAAAAAGTCCGGACATCTCATCACATGTAATTTGATTTTGTGAACATGGACAGCTTATGACTAAACTTAAATCGGTGCTATAAAGGACATTTGTTTCTTGCTGATACACAACTGACATATTGAGGTGCAATATAAATGTTTTTTCATTAAAACAATGAGTCTTGCTGGTATACTTTTTGGTATGAATTGACTATGATCAAGTCATTACGCCATTTTAAGCTTTATTTATAAGAAAAGTGTCCAGGCTCTAGAAAAATGTTGTCTTATAATATATATATATATATATTTTTTTTTTTTTCTTTTCTCTCAGACAACTTTTCGATGTTTCTTTTTACAAATTGACCCTAGTTGGAAACTGTATATATAAAAACACTGTATATTTTAAAATGGTTCACTCACATCTGCATTAAAGAATGTTAACAATGTGTCCCAAGATGCTATTTTTTATTTTCATAAAAAGTGGGATATATACAATATTTTTTCCCATGTTCCACTATAGGAGATCTGACAAGTAGAAATACAGTGTGGGTTTATTTAAAATAGAAACATATCAATGTATTGATTAGCTATGCGACATCTTTAGTGGCCATCCTGCAAACAACAGCGTCCAAAAGACTGCCACACTTTTCCTCCTGTGGTGCGACTTTGTAGAGCTGTAATGAGAGACACAGATGCATTTTTCGAACAAATGCAATAAACGAGGAACCCTAAATTGTTCTACATCAGTACTGTGTAAAAAGAGACATACCTTTTTAATCTTGGCGACATCAGTCAAATCAGACACTCGATCAACGGCAATCTGTTGTCCGTCCACCTTTGAGATGATGTTATCGATGCTGAGGGTCTCGTCTTTGTTGTGTACTAACACAATGTGAACCGCACTGTCACTGTCTGAGATCCCAAACCTTTTGAATGCTTCAGATATCTGCCAAACATTAAACTTTGTTAAAACTGCCGCTGTAAACAAATAAAGATTTCGGCTGTGTTCCTGTACTGAATATATTACTCACATTGTTTGTGGGTGAAAGATTATAAATGATTTCCGAGTAAAGGCTCCGGGTTTTCATTTTCCCATTTTTATGTAGGTGAACTGCTTTATTTGCTGCCACCAAGATCTGGAATGCATCCACAACCTTTATAGGGAAAATGAAACAATTCAGTTTGACAATTCAGCTTTACCAACACAGGAATGAAATAAAATAGAAAAATAGGTATTTTAAATTGCATTAATGCTTCACAATATTACCGTTTTTATGGTAATATCATATAAATGCAGCCTTGGTGAGCATTAGAGACTTCTTTCAAACACATTTAAAAACTTCATTATTTATGATTTTTGACAGGTAAGTTAGTGTGTGTATATATTTGCATGTTCAAAAACGGTATAGCCATGACACCATCCAAAGCAGGGTGTTACCATGGTACTTTTTACTAGGCATGTTGAATTTCTGTATATATAGTATATAGCCATAAATGAGTTTGTACATGATTTGATAAGTGTTCTCTTACCAGTGATGGATTGATCAAGGCGCCTTTTATTTCTCCATTCACTGCCATTTTTCTCAACTCCGTCGCATTTTTTACATCTTTGAAGAGCAGTTGAATCACCGTGTATTCAGGAAACAGTTCTAAGTCTTGCGTAAGATGCATTATTAATACTTTAGTATTCAGTAAAACATTAACTTTATCTAGACAGCATGCGGTACCCAGTGGGGCCACACACGGAACAATAATAATGTGACACCGTCATTTGCTGATGGGAATGTTCCGACTTGGCAAATTTCAGTCGATGCAATTGTGTGGGTGATATTAAATGTATTACAAAGCCTTACATTAAATAATATACAGTCAGGTTTTAGTTTATAAAGTATATGAAAACTACAGAAACAAAACACTCGCGCAGTGGTTAGTATGCGACAGTTGTCTGAGATGGGCGGGGCCTATCGGCTCAGAAGTCGTTTCTAATTGGTCGACTAGCTATGATCGACGTATATAATAATCCTTGTTTTTTAAACTCTTTTTTTTTGAGTATTTTTAATTCAGTGTCATGTTTTTTCGGGGGCACTACACAGATGACAAATTTAGTAAATTAATTCATATACTTGTAAAGTCGAAAGGAGATTGTTGCATGGGCACATCGCTTTTGTTACGTTCTGATATTTATTGTGTTATTTATGATGTATTTACATGGTGATGTAATTATTCTTACTAGAGAAGAAATCATTGTGATTTTTTAAATAAATAATTTAATAAGGAACATATCATAGTATAGGTGATGTACATATTTCAATGTGACTACATTATTACTTACAAGAGATTTATTACTATTTTAATAGTCTGTGACAACATCGGGGTGGAACTGATTGTTCACGCCTCCGGTTTAGACACGGACGCTAGTATGTGACGCACCAGTAAACTGTCAAAAATCTAAACTTAAAAATGCGATTTTTGCATATATGTGCACATTTTTGACAATCTGAAGGAAGATCGATTACAAGGAATGAATGCTTCGCATACTATCTTACTCATCCTCGTATATCATTCGTTTCCATAAGTGTATTATCAAAGATCGAGTGTTTTTGTGTTTGTTTGAATAAGGATGGAGAGATTTGAGGTTTATATCTTCACTGCTCTGTGCAGCATTAACTTTCTCATATCCTGCCTCCTGTTCTCCAAAATCACACGGGAGCAGAGAGATCCGTACATGGATGAGATATTCCATGTTCCTCAAGCCCAGAAGTACTGTGAGGGCAAGTTTCATGAGGTATGATTGTTAATGATGCTTGAATTTCTCCGTGTGTTTGTGTTTTTGGACATGGATGCTCATGTGCCCCTCTCCACAGTGGGATCCGATGATCACCACTCTTCCCGGGTTGTATCTGGCTTCAGTGGGTCTGATCAGGCCTGTGGTGTGGCTGGCGGATCTGAAGGGCAGTGTGGTCTGCTCTACTGCCATGCTGAGATTCATCAATCTGCTCTTTAATAGTGGGAATCTCTACATAATCTATCTGATCATCTGCAGACTGCACATGAAAGATAAGGTGTCTGATTTTTTTTTTAATTTAAGTTTATTTGGGGATTTTTCCATTACGGGCACATAATTGAATTGCCCTTTTAAAAATATTGAAACATACCCTGAATAATCTGGTTATGGCCTTGATCAAAGTGTAAAATGTGTAGTTTTCATATTGTTTGTAATGTTAATGACGTTTTATAACAATATATAATGCTTTTTTTTTTTTTAATGGTTGGTATCATGGTAATAACAGCCGATTTGACTAAATTTCTAATTAAAAAGTCAAATTTCCTTGATTTTAAAGCTCTTCATAATAATAATAATTTAATATTGAGGGGATGCATGGCTAGGAGGCAATCCAAAAACAAAGAAAAACTGACAATTTTATTATTATTTAATCTTTTTATCACACTAGTAGGCATGGAACAAATTGTAAATATAATATAGAAAAAAACACACGTTTTTTTGTACTTTGTATGTATATATTTATAGTATATATATATACATACAATATGTATTGTATGTATATACAATATAAGTAAATATAATAGTAATTTCATAGTAAATACACATTAACCAAATTTAGTCATTAACCATAGAAGCTGTGACTGGTGCTTGCACATTTGTTATGTGGTTGCTAAGATATGAATTGTTTTTCAGCATTGTGTTGGGTTGCAGTCTATTTTATTTTTAGCCTTCTTTTTTAAATTGTCCACCAGGTGAAAATTGTAAATCCGATAGCTTAGAAAATGTAGAGCTTCAACAAAGGCACCTGGCAACCACCCAAAACAACTTAGCAATTGTATAGCCTTGTATTTAAGTTGAGTGACGCCTTCAGATCAACTGTAAAGTGTAATACCAAGGTGTTCTATTTCACTCTCTCTCTCTAGTCCCGTTCTGCCTCTCGTCGAATGTTCTCTGCCCTGGCTCTGTCCACATTTCCAGTGCTGTACTTCTTCACGTTCCTGTATTACACTGACGCTGGCTCCACATTCTTCACCCTCTTCATGTATCTCATGGCGCTGTATGGAAGCCACAAAGCTGCGGCGCTTCTCGGCGTCTGCGCCGTCCTCTTCCGCCAGACCAACATCATCTGGGTGGCGTTCTGTGCTGGCACCGTGGTGGCTCAAAAAATGGACGAGAGCTGGCGGACTGAATGGAAGAAGCGAGACGAAAAATCACCTTCTCAGGTCCCTCTAACCATCA